GCTAGATTTTGGCATTTAGCAACTGGCATACGGTTTAATGTGAAGTCAACAACAACAACAACCGCCGTTTTCTATACAGGCTTTTGGTAGGGTATGTACCCGAGCCTACCCTANCTTTAGATCCTCAGATGGCTCCAGCACTTTCGTGACCACGGGCCGAGAGTCTTTGCTAGATTTTGGCATTTAGCAACTGGCATACGGTTTAATGTGAAGTCAACAACAACAACAACCGCCGTTTTCTATACAGGCTTTTGGTAGGGTATGTACCCGAGCCTACCCTAGGGTATTTACCCGGTACCCGCGGGTATTCCGCTCTCGAGTAGCTTTGGTAGGACCTTCAACACCCCAACCGACCCCTCGGGTAGGTTTTGTACGACTTTCAATACCCTACCCGCACCTGGTAAAAGTACGGATTTTTCACCGGTACCCTACCCGGGCGGGTAGGGTTCATTGTCGGGTACAATCTACCCTGCGGGTGTGTTTTGTACCACCCTCGATACCCTACCCAACGCTCGGGTAGGTTTTGGTACTACTCTCGATACCCTACCCTACCCTACGTATTGTACTGCTGTCGGTACCCTACCCGACTCGCGGGAAGGTTTTGTACTACTGCTGTCGGTACCCTACCCGACTCGCGGGTAGCCTATGTACTACTCTCGATACCCTACCCGAGACGAACTATTAGAAGGGCAGATACCCGGGTATCTGCCCGATCCCCCACAAGTGCTTGCTGGTGACGTCAGAATGCGGCAGAACCGTCGCCTGCGTGCCTGCGTGCCACCACAGCGCTCTCTCTACTCTCCACCCGTGCCCTCTACCCTCGGGTACGGGAGTAGCCACCGGTGATGAGTGAGGCAGTCGGTAGTTCCGCTGCATCTCCCGATGCTGGTGCATCGTCTACACCCGCCGAGCAGGGAGCCACGGCAGAAGGGGGGTCCACATCGCAAGCGGTGCGTCTCGTCGAGCCCGCGAAAGTCTTTTGACAAAAACGGAGAGTACGACGTACCGCAGGCCACAATAGACGCCGTCGAGGCGTTCAAGGCGCGTGACGGCTACCAGCAGGAAGGATCCCGTGCGGACTCCTTCCTGTATAGCCTGGGCAACTACGAGAGGCCCGTCCATATCGAGCAAGGCAGCAGCTATGCGTGGCCTACTACCATTGCCAAGTAGGCCAGTGCAAAGGCAAAAAAGGGATTCCATGCTCGAAGGGGTCCAGGAGCAACGTCAACAAGCACTTCAAACAACACGGACTCAAGGGCTCGAAGGGGGAAGTGAGAATGCAGAACCAACGCGAGAGAGAGGGAAACATCAAAGACGCTTTGTCCGCAACCCGCAAGTTCACCGGTGTGGGGAAAATGAGGTGTGTGTGTCTTGTTATTCTTGTCTTCCAAAAACATAAAAAAATAAAGCGAAATGAGCAAAAAAACACCCATAGACTAGACACTACGAGGAAGACGCATGTAGTTTTATTTTGTATTTTTATATAATATTGTTCGTGTTGCTATTTTTTTGTCTGTATCTTCGGGTTTTAGAAACAATTTGATCAATGAAAAATATAAATACTACATACGAAGTATTTTATATTGTCTTGAATATATACTCCGGAGTATTTATATATTGTCTTGACGTTGATTCTGTTTTTTTGAAGAAAAATACCTGCTGCCCTATCTTGTAAATTTACTAAGAATCAAGAATGCAACTTGTGCGGTGTCCATTTTTCTCGGTCAGGGTGCAGGAACTCCAGGCGGCGAAGCTTTTGGTGGAGAAGCTGCTGCCTTTCACCTTCTTTTCGAGTGGGAACACGTTCGGGGAGATGATGGCGACTGCCTCAAGAAACACGACGTTCCCAGCATTGCCTGCGGCGGGTGTCAAGCACCTGCTCGTCGAGCTTTACTGCGCCACGAAAAAGGTGAGAAATTAGTAATATTCCGATTGAAAGAATCCTCCGCCTAGATTTGGTTGTTGGCTATAAATATAAAACTGGGCAAACGTACCTATAATATAATATAAATAAACCATGTGTGTGTTTTAATGCGACAGCTGTTTGCCACTGGGTATGTACTTGGAGTGTTCACATTAATGCCTGTACCTTGGTGTACCGAAAGACAGAAAGCGGACTACTACTATTTTGGGCACTGCCCAATTAACTACGCGAAAAGTTGCCGTTGTGTACACCACCAATACTAGTACAATACTAATACTCAATACCACTCAATACTACGTTTCAATGCAGGTGGTCGTCGGCGACATGGCCGAGGAGGTTAAGAGAGCTCCGCTTCCCATACTGCACCACATGCTTGACATTTGGACTGACAAAGCATCGCGGCGCAAGTTCCTCGCTAGCCACGTTAACTACGTGACCGCAATTTCGAGCTGAAGGACGTCCTGCTCTCCGTGAGTGAACTGTTCTGTGCTTCACAACATATACTCCGTATTTCTTATTACTTGCTTTCAATCTGGTGGTTTGTTGTTGTTTCTTCACATTAAAGTCGTATGTATGTCAGTTGCCAATCTCAGAATCTTGCAAGGACTCGGCCCGTGGTCACAAAAAATGCTGGAGCCATCAGAAGATCTAACGAACACGCACACGTAGCAAGAAAAGGGTACACAAGGCCGAAGAGGTACACCTGAAATCCCTGCAGCACGTTATGCGTGCCCAAAACTGAAAAAGAACGACCAATCAAAGGTTCGCATTTGAATTTGACAACCAACCTATTGAAAAAGTTTTTTTTTTCTGCCGCCCTCATCGCTGCCCTCCCTCATAAATGTTATTCAAGAGCAAGCGCTACTCGCCCGATCAGGGGGCCCTGGGGCAAGCGAAGGCCTCCGAAGTGCTTCTCGTGATTTTCAAGTCCATCCTGCACGAGTTTGGGCTGAATCCGTCTTACCTCGCCTCGGGTACTACGGATAGCGGGTCGGACGTCAAGGCCGTGAGCATCAACGGCCTCTGGAAGCACTTTGGGGTGCTGTGGAATTGGTGTTTCTGCCACCTGATGAAGGCCGCCGAGCAACCCTTCTGCACGTCCCTCGACACAGTCAAGTCCAAGAACCCAGCCGCACGGGACCTTCTCAAGACCGTCATCAAGGTCGTCGAGACCCTCAACAAGTCGTCGAACTTGGGGGCTAAGTTCGAGGACCTGCAGGTGGACCTGTTGGGCGAGGTCTTCAAGGTCGTCAAGCACGCTCCCCAACGGTGGCTCGGCCTCACTCGCACACTGGAGCGGATCATCCGCTTGTGGCACGTCCTCAGGAGGCTCTAAAGCGACGAGGGGAAGATCTTCCCTCTCGAAGAGGGCGACAACAAGGACGGCATCCTTCAACTCTACTCGTTGCTGCAGCCGCTTTCCTCGATCACGCGTGACGTTCAGTACGGTGGCGCGCCGATGACGGCGGAGATCTTCATGAAGTTTGCTACCCTCAAGACCAACGTGCTGGACATGTCGGAGCCTCTCAGAGTCTTTGACATCCCGGCCCTTGGAGAAGACGGCCTCCCAAACCGCGGCGAACAGAAGAAGGCACTGCCGTCCAAGATGGTGTCAGCAGACCAATTGCACCCCACGACCACGCTGGCGCGCGAGGAACTCTGCAGGGCGCTCATGTCGAGGTTGTACGAGCGTGTGTGGAACGAGCAAAGCCCGAACCCCAGCTTTTTCTGCGATGCTGCTTGCCTCCTCACGCCGCCTTTTAGTGAGGGACGCCACGTATCGGCAATGAGACTGACAGCGGAGGATGCGATGTACTTGCCCAACAGCTCGAACATAATAGCCCCCACGGCGGACTTCGAAGTAACGGCAAAGCTGGACTGGGCGTGGACTGAAATCAGGAAGCGCGCCGTTGAATCCGTGAAGACAGAGCAAGATCGAGCTGGTGGGAGTGATGCGGGCGGTGGCGGCGGTCCCTTCAAACGTGCCCACACTTCAGGGGGGAGATCTGCTCGCAACCCGACTGACCCTGACGAGTTTACCGATTCTGGCCGCACCGCAGCAGTTGAGGAAGCGCGCAGGATGACCTCGTGTAGCAGGAGGTTGGGGGCGAGATCATGCGGTACAAGCGGGTTTCATGAAACCCTAGGATGTGAGTTTGAAAAAACTAAACACAGTGAGGGGTGATGATTTTTTTTGTTTTGTGGTTGGTGTGCGGTCTGTTGTTCGGCTGGCGCAGCATCTAAGCAATTGCATCACTGATCGGTTTGGTTGGACCTGGTATCTAAAAACTTCAAGCTCTTGTCTCACAGTTTGTCAACAGTAAGCATGAGTGGAATCGACCAAAGCATACAATGTGTAAAAACAATACGTGAACGTAATAACACAACCCCGACCCCGCCGCTCTTCCGTGTCTGCCACACTTCCAGTTGCGGCCCAGCGAAGTCCTGTCTTACTGGGGACGTACCGGCAAACACGCCTTTCCCTCCCTCAAGCATGTCGCGCAGCAGACCTTCGGAAATCAAGCGTCTGCTGCTCCTGTCGAGCGAGATTTTAGCGGGTGCGGACTTTTCATGGTGCCGAACCGCAGCCGCGTGGATGAGTACTGGGTGGAAATGGTGATGTTCCTCAAGGCCAACTTCAATTCGTCCCGGCGTATCAACATCCCCCAAATCGACCCGAAGGACATCAGGAAGTGCCTTCCAGCAAAGTTCGAAGGAACGGACGAAGATCACCTTAACGCGGAGATGGCGCTTTACCCGCTGTCAAATGACGCGCCCCCCGCCGAGGCTGGCCTTGGCCTTTAGGCTCGAGCTAAAGCTGGGCTTGCTTCTTTGCTCCTTTGATTTCCGTCGTTCTGTTCTGTTCTTCCCTCTCGGTGCTGCTAGTGGTAACTTCTGGGGAGGATTTGGATAAGGAATGGGATTACGATTACGACTGGGATTTCTGAAGGGCTCAAGGGGTTTCAAGTTCTGTCGATCATAATGGGTACCGGGGTTGCGCGTGCATGCCATGGTGGCATGGTACATTGACAGTGCAAGTGTATGTGTGTACTTCTGTTTCCTTTCCTTCTGTTGCGGGAACACGGCAACCCGGGACCGGCAACTTTGAATTTGATGAGACTGGACTTCATGAATTGGGTTCAGTATCACGGTCGTACCCGGGTCGTACCCGGGCACCCGCTGGTAAATACCCGGGACTAAGGGTATTCCAGACTGGGGTAGCTTTGGTACGACGTTCTGTACCCTACCCAGAGTCTCGGGTAGCTTTGGTAGGACTTTCCTACCCTACCCGACCCCTCGGGTAGGTTTTGTATGACTTTCAATACCCTACCCGCACCTCGTAAAAGTACGTATTTTTACCGGTACCCTCCCCGGGCGGGTAGGGTTCATTGTCGGGTACACTCCACCCTGCGGGTATGGTTTGTACCACCATCGATCCCCTACCCAACGCTGGGATAGGTTTTGGTTCTACTCTCGATACCCTACCCTCCGAGGGTAGAGTACCCGAGCTCCTATACCCTACCCGTGGGTAGTTTTGGTACTACCCACGATACTCTACCCGAGTTTACCATACCCTACCAAAAGCAACCTTGCGATCTACCATGCCCCAAGAAACGGAAACTCCCCGTACTAACAGGACGACGATGTATTTTGTACAAATCTAGCGGAAGCCATGCCAAGACTGCGTCGCTGCGCGATGGTTCACGAATCCCGAACAATCAAAAGTCATGGTGGGTACCGGAACGGCACAAACGGGGCTGTTGTGTACAACCCATGCAAGCGAGTCTATCGTAAACCATGCCTGGAACCATGTACGACGCGTGCTCAGGTGGGCCGTAGGGCCAACCTGGACACAAAAGTACCACCAGTATTACAATATCTCGTGCACATACACAGAAATAAAAATGAAACTGAAACTCGCGCGGGAAAGGAATGGCAACTTCTGTGCGCAACGGCATGGATATTATTAATCCCGCCGCACGAGATAGCCGGCTACATTCGCTGATAACTTCGCTCGGGGCAAAGACGCACTGCATGTCGCTTCGTTCCCGTTGGTGTTGCCGTCCGGAGTCATGGCGGCCCCCGCGGGTGCTGCTCACACCGGCGAGAAGGGGATTTTCTTTTTCTCAGCAGGATAAGGCACCTCCACCACCTCCTTGACAAAACGTTTTCGAGCGACAGCAAATCCGAAAACAGAAACGGTGCAACGTTTGGCAATGATCCACCGACCAAGGCGAATACGACTCATCATTTCAAAACCATGGCACGCGGAACACGCTCGGTCCGTCGATGCGTCATCGACGAGAGAGGAGCTCCACAAAATTCTTTCGCAAACCAGGTTCAAAGCGAACGTAATGATGCTGGCTTGAGCCTGTGCACGTTGCTGCAAAACTGTGCTTGATAGGTGGATTTGGGTCGCATGTGTCAGGATGTCAGGATGCCATCGCCTACAATAGAACCGAGGTCACCCCAGCCATAGCAAGTTACAGTTCGCAGCGAAGGAGACGTAGGGTAAAACGGTTGGGAGTCGTAAATGGCGAGAAAACGTCCGCAATATATCGCAAAAAGGGTCCTCGGGTTTGTGTGCGTGGGTCAACGCTACTTCAGCACGAACGGCAATACACGTTACTGTACCTTCTTTCCCTCTTGTTCCCAGTATGGTCTCTCTTCCACAGGGGGACTGCCGTTGAAATCGTCTCTGGCCCCACGATGCGTGCTGTCGCCGACTCGGAGGCCACCTAGCCCCTTGTTCACCGACTTTTTGAAGTTTCGAGGCTTGAGGTGTGGGTCTTGCCTAGATGCCGCCACAAAAAAGATGGGCCACATGATCATGAGAAGGTCTGAAGAAAGTACGGCGAAAACAAAACCACAGCGAGCAAATGGGGAAAAAAGCACGCATAGTAGTCGGCGTGTTGGCGCCTGTAGGTCTCGAGAATCTCTCAAGTGGTATCAAGCAAAGTGTGAGCATGGGCTCTCGCAGTAGAGGGAAGGGAGAGAGGATTGAACAAAGAATCAGTCAACATGTCGAGAAGTTTGGTGTGGCGGAGCGTTTGGTTTTGGGCACCTTGATGCAGGTGTCATGTGCGACACCCCTACTTTATCTTACCCCAGAAGCCGCCGACGTTGCCGAACATTTCGGCGAGGTCGAGGGGGTCGACCTCGGTGATAACCTCAAGCGAGTTGGGCTCCTGCTGGACCTGCAGCGACAGCTGGGCATAAGGCTTGACAATGGCCGGGTTCACCTATTTACGAAGAACGGTTTGGCAGAGGGCGGTGTCTGTTAAACATGTTGAGGGATCCTACTACAAGTGCTGGTGTGGAAGGGTCGACGGAAATACCAGTTCCTTCGTCGACCACCTTCTCCACACGGCAACTCGATTTTCCGAAATGTGTTCGACGCGCGACAGATGACCATGTGTGGCTTCCACCACAATGTCTCGATACATGTCCCATGCCAGGTAAATGCTATTCGCCGCGCTTCCCAAGCCACTGTCGGAAGTCAACTCACCAGTGGCGCCTGCCTACATGCTGTTGCGATCCAATGGTAGGGCTACTCTGAACAACGGTAGCAGTTCTTGTTCGGTGCGCCACCACCTTGTCTGGAATCGATCGCTTCGAATCAAGCTGCGGACGTGGTCACGCTAACATACCGTTCGACCTCTGTTCCAGTACCCCCCCCCCCTCCGTTTTACCTCATCCTTCACCGTCGCTGTCGATACCGATAGCGCCTTGTTGTTCACGATGGGTTCTTGGCCTAGCTTGTCCTCGGTGGTCACTCCGATTCCCTGTCAGACCCACGGGACACATACCGAAGTCAGTTACGTGTGATAGTCGGGAAATGAGAGTCTCCGCGATCTGGAAACGGGGAGTATCGACGCCCCAAATGAGTTAGTCAGTATAGAGTTGAAAACGCGAGTGTAGGAGGGAAGGTGTGGACGTATCAAGACATGGCACACGAGGAGCGGAAGCAAGCGTCAATGACAGCTCCACAGCCGCTTTGATGCCGAGAAAGAAACGGAGACAAATCCACTCATTCTTGCTGTACGGCCGCCGCAAGAACAAACCCAAAAGAACAAACCTAAAATGTGAAAAACTATCTACAGCTGATCGAGAGGGCATTCAACCTTGGCGCCCATTCTCACGACAATAGGGATAGGCTGGGTTCGTGTTCCTACACTTTCGCGGTTTCATTCTGGATTGTCTATTCGATCATGCAGTCACGAAGAACCACACGAACAGAAAACAAAGGAACGGTTAACAGGAAACACGCAAACGAGTAGGGTTCGATAGGCGCTCCTACGCACCACGTAAGTGTGGGAGTGGCTGCTCGAGACGTTGGTGATGCAGCTGTAGGGGACTTGGATCCCCGTTGAAACTTGGCCTAGTACTGGATCGTTCAAAAACACGTACATCCATTGCCTGCGTGGTGCGCGACACAAACAGGGCGTACAGGAGAAACGGTTAGCCTTAACTCATCGAGAAGATGCACGCGTGCCGTATCAGCGAGGGTGAAAGCCAGTGCCCAAACAAGGGCGGTAGGACCGGAGGCTGTGCGTGGCGGGAAAACGCTAGCTGTGCTACTATTTTCTCAGTCCTGTGTCAACACCGTCAATTTCATACCCAGAGCATCATGTTTCACAAGACGTCGACCGGGCACTCGTACTTGTTCCAACGTTTTGAACCAGGTCATGATACACCCTGGGAGGGACCAAGTTTGACCTGGTAAGTGGTACCGGCCTCGAACCTCTGGTGAGCTGGGCAAACCCGACTCTAAGTATCCCGGAACAGAACGTTTCTTCAACCAGAGTCAGAGTGCCACGCACACGACCATTCACTTACAAAAATTCACAGCGTCCGAACGCCGGGAAAGACTACGCAACGATACTGGAGGAACAACCACAGCAACACATCGGGCATCGACGCAACGGATCCCATACAAGACTCTCGGCGACACCGCATTTCTTCGTGGTCAGGGATGTGAGGAACGCATCCCTCATCACCCATGAGAACCTCACTTGTGAGTCTTCCACCCCTCAACGACGCACGTGGTAGAATCGACTTCAAGGCCACCCGGGTACCAGTACATCTGCCGGGAAACGGTATTGGTGTCGTCAGTAACAGTCAGTAACAGAGGGAAGCGAGTGGTTGCTGCCGCCTCACGTCAGCAACGTTTGGATGACAGTAGGGCGTGGGCAACAGACAGAGCGTACAATATATTCCTGTCAACCCCTATGCCCGTCACTTCGATCAGTAGACCCAACGGCACGACCATACGAGGCCCCGTTGTAGAGACACTAGCTTGTTAGATTAGAGCATGGATGTCGTTAGGATGCATCAAAGGTTTCAAGTAATAATCACGGCAAAGCAACTCACATCCAGGAGGAGGTAGTCTAGATAGTACTTCGCGTCCCGCTCGCGACCGAGAAAGCGGGTAATTTTCGACGTCTGGAACTCCACGCACCAGCCGTTCTGTGGGATAGATGCAGACATGACGGAGTGAGGTGCGTGATAGGCCATGAAGTTTGATATCCGTTAGACATGACAACATTTTCACCTAAGGAAAATACAGCAGGGCAGAAATCGGCCACAAGAAAGCTCCTTGCTTCACAGGCTAACCCTACAAAACACACTCGGCGGGAAAACCTCCGGTCCTACTAATTCTGTGATGCTTGGGAACACACGAAAAAACAAATCGTGTGTCACCCGACGCCCGGGCCTTATTGGATTTGATGGACACGGCTCTTCGCGAGTGTTGGACAAGAACAACACCAAAAGCTATACAAGCGTTTGAAAAAGTACACAACACTCAACCAAGAGTGGAATGTTCCGGGAACCAAACGATCAACTTACAATTGCGGCCGGGGTTCCAAGATGGAAACAAGGCGTTGAGGGCCCTTAACCCCTCGAACAAGCCACCACCGAGAGTAACCTGATACATACGCACATTCGCTCACGGGAGGAAATCTCACGTTTCAATAGGTTCACCCGGGGGGAATACTGTATCTACAGCGAGACTGCTGTACCGTAGGTTGCGCAAGATACCACACCCCCTGGACAAAATTTCAAACCTCTTTTGTTCGACGACCAAGAGGATGCCCAAATCAAATGAAATGACATTTTCGGAAAGCGATGAGACAGTTCCACTGCCGCCATTTCCGGCACCACCGCTATTGACTGTCTTCCCGCCAAGTAATAGGGCTTTGAAAATCGGTCCAGGGGGGGTGGTATCTTGTGCAACCGACGGTACACGTGACTTCGCTCACGTTCGGGGTCAGCTTTTCCTCCACGTGAATCTCCTGCTCGTAGACCCCGCCTGGGTAGTACACGGCACTTGAATGGCCCCATCCTGTCCTGTTAGCGGTGGCACTTGTCATGCACTCCTCCTCCAATTCCCACTCGTCGCAGCCGTAGTCGACGTAGAGGCACACCCAAACATCCGGGTACTCGAATACGGTGTTCTGCGGGAGGAGAGGACCACGAAAGCCGATGCATCATCTATAAATCGATTCGTTTCTCATTTCTGGTCGACGGGATGACGTCCTTTCTGGCCCATACACGAGGTTTCTGGTGAATGTACTGCTTGTCGTCTGTTTCCCCAGTGGTAACTGCGGTGATGCGTTCGCTGTCTCTCCTTCCCCCACACAGCGCGAACAGTCTCGTCTCATGTACTGGGGACGACACGCCTCTTCTGTGGCAACGATGCAGGAGCCTTCGGACCGGACAGCCAGGTTCGGGTCGCTCTGCAAGGCTTCGAATAATTGATGATGAATGCTTCGGTGCAAAAGTGAATCTGGAACGAAAAGTCTTCCAAGTTTTGTTCGGACCACTGCATCATCGCAAAAATAAATGAAGCCACCGTTCCTCCGTTCTATTCCCCCCGTTCGCTTTTGTTCCTTCGTCGACAACCATTCCCGTCGCGAGGAGTTCCGTGTTTGAACCGAAACGCAAATATGCAGTTCGATCCGGCGAACTTGAACCCGTTTATTCGTGTCGCAATCGGCGTGAATTTTGTGTCCACTGTCTGCCTAGACCGCTGCATTAGTTCGACAACGAGGTGTTCACTTTCCCTGGCGATCACGAACTCGTCTGGCCCACCTCCTGCGAGTGCTTCGTAAACGCTTGGTCGACAAGCATGAATGACCAATTGCTGTGCATGGAACAGAGTCGAACATCCAAAAGCCACCTCGTACCGATAGCTCGATGGACGCATCGGGGTTATTGCGCTTGCGAACGGCCTTGTACAATAGATACGAAGAATCTGCGACGAGAGCACAAGACGCCAATTCGTGGTGCGGGATGCAGCAGTAGCGACAACGAACGATTTTCGGCGGTGAGAACGGTCGCAGGTTAGAGCATAGGGTGGCTTGATCAAGACTATATCCATCACCCGATTGGCATATGTATTTCAGCCCGTTGCGGGGATGCACCTCTATACACGATGCTGTAATGTAAGCGATTGTGGTCGAGGATAGGGATGGTGTGGGACACCCTCGTTGGCAAGGACGCAGCACTGTCTCGCTCGGTGAAGTTGGAGGTATTGAGTCCTTCCGGTCGCAGGCCACAACGCCTACAGACTCCACCCAGGGCCGATTGTTTGTCCTTCACCAAAACTTGAAGTAAGTTCAGATGGCGCCGTAAACGCCTACATACAGCTTGTTACCACCAACAGGAGGGTGCAGACTGCAAACACCAGCCAGAGAGTGCCAACATGAACGATATGTGTCCACGTGGCACTTGCAGCTGGTCTCGCGTTCTGACAATACATGCGACGACGTTTTCGGCAGCACAAACAAGCGTACGTTCGCGAACGCAAAATACTCACAGAAAATGATGCCCCCGATGAGGATCGTCCAGAGTGCCACCGCTCTGCGCTTGTGTTGCGGCACGACCTCGTCTGGTTTCCTAGAAGCGTACAAGGTAAGTCACATGTAGCAAATAGATCTTGGACGAACGACGACCGTAATTGCAAGCTCAAATATTGATACGGCCTCGACGCCTCGAGAACATAAATATCCGGGGGCATACAGGATCTGCATCGGTCCCTCAAGCTTCGACACTCCCACTGCCATCTCCCGAGGGGCCAAGTCAACTCTTCGGTGCGCGAGATCCGTGAACGG